GTCCAGCCCGTGTGGCTCAGTGGTTGAGTGTCGACCTATGAACCAGGCGGTCACAGTTCCATTCCCAGTCAGGACACATGTCTGGGTCGCAGGCTCCATCCCCAATGTGGGGTGTGCAGGAGGCAGCTGATGAATGATTCTCTCTTGTCATTGATGTTTATATCTTTCCCTCTCCCTTTCTCTCTGAAATCAATAAATATATATATATTTTAAATAACATGTTTTCAGGAATTTCCCTCCCTTTCCTTTTCCCATTTCTCTTTCCTACTTAAAAGTGGGTTAAAACCTGGCCCACACACAGCTCTTTCCGTTTGAAATATGGAAGCTTTTGCTGTCTCCTGGAAATCTGAAAAAGGGACCTTGCTGAAAGACAAACCCTAAAAAACAGAGTGATAAAGTGGGTAAGCTTTCGTCTCAAATCTCTGGGTGTCAGTACGGGTGTGATGATTTATAGTCTACCTTGGAGCTTAAATGAGAGTGGGCAAGTCAGATAGCAAATGTTTAAAATAGCCCTAACCAGTTTGGCTCAGTGGATAGAGCATCAGCCTGCGGGTTGAAGGGTCCCAGGTTCGATTCCGGTCAAGGGCATGTACCTTGGTTGCAGGCACATCCCCAGTAGTGGGTGTGCAGGAGGCAGCTGATGGATGTTTCTCTCTCATCTATGTTTCTAACTCTCCATCCCTCTCCTTTCCTCTCTATAAAAAAACAACAACAATAAAATATATTTTTTAAAAATGTTTAAAATAGTCTTGGTTAGAACAATACATAAACCCGGTCCTCACCAATCTTTAGTCGTGACGTATTCTAAAGACAGGATTCTCTCTAACAGTCATGAACATGAGAATTGCCATAATGAACATTGTGCACTTAACCCCCACAAGCAAATACTCTCTTTTGTAAAGCCTTTGAGTCTATCTTCTCCCTTTAAGGCAAGAAGGTTTGTTTCTATTAAGATGTCAAAATAGAAATATTTAAAGAGATCAAGTATTCATTATAAGAATTATGGCAGAGTGCCATCCCTTTCCTGGTAGTATCCTCGCCCATCTAAAGGAACACATGCTTCTTACTTAATTAAAAGAGCTCTATAGTCAATGCTGTCAGAATGGACTCACTACGCAATTTAGGGGCCACTGGGGACAAAAGCTATTAAAAGAGAAGACTCAGAAAGGTGTAGTCAACCTATCTAAAGCAGAGGGAAGAAAAACAGATGGGATCAGGGAGAGGTAGGCAGGGGAAAAAAAAAAAAAAACGAACAGGCACTCAAATGAGAAAAAGCAAAAGTACACAAAAAATGGTTAAGAAACATTCTTAGGGACAAAATTACAAACATTGTTTTGTTTCAGAAAGATACCGGCCTTCCTTGTTAATATAATACATTCTTAACGATCTGCAAAGGGGCCTTGCCTTCTCTTCTTCTCTTGTATCAAATTCTACTATGTATGAAGTCTTCGGTATGGTGATAGATTAGATAGATAAATAGATGATAGATGATAGATAGATAGATAGATAGATAGATAGATAGATAGATAGATAGATAGAAAGAAAGAATGAGGAGCAACTAACTGACTATTTCACACCCACATGTTCAAAAATCTACGGACTTCTTTCTGGCCTCTTTGCTTAAGGTTAAATCAAAACTTCTGTTATAGCCCTAATATCACCAACCACAGTAATTAAATACTTTGACACTTGAAACTTCTTAAGTGCATCATCTTCTTAGTGGGGTATTTATGAGCCAGGTAGTCATCTGTCTTTGACTAATCATTTTCAGTTGTAATACATGAGATGTGATACAGACAGCAAAATCTCACCAGAAATTCCAGTGCTACTGTCACTAATGAAAATTCCGACAGGAGTCTGATGTAGCTCTTTCTAATATTCAAGAGTGTGTGTGTGTGTGTGTGTGTGTGTGTGTGTGTGTGTGTGTGTAATGTGCTAAGTGTCCAACCATCAAGGTAATGACATCATGTGGCAACGCTCAGCTTCCTCTCCCTAGCAACTAGCCTCCTTGCAGTTTCTTCAGCCCAGGAACAGGACTTGCTTTATAGGCAGTTTATAGGAAACATTTCACACTGTAACCAAATGTCTGTGAAGTGTTTTCACGAGCCTCATCTCATTCGATCCTCACTGAAGTCCTGGAGTAGGTAGATAGGAGACTCGGTGGAATCATATTTTCTTTTCATTAGCCAGAAAATGGAGATTTAGAAAACTTAGAAACTTGACCCGACTGAAAAGAAGTAACGGTGGACCTTCAAAATGACTTCAGGTTTTCTCACTGCACAGAATATAGTCAAACACTGCTGTAGTTAAATATTTTACCCTTTGTTCTCCCTGCATGATCTACAATAATAATCTGCTTCGTGTTGATATTTACTGCTGTGTTGCTGACAATTACTGGAAAGAGAAGTTGGGGTGCTTCGCTGGGCTGGAAAAAGTTTAGCAAAATCAGAAAGCAGGTCTAATTAAGCAAGTTTATCTATAGATATAAAAGGCTAAGCTGACTCGCACATGTGTGATACATATAAAGCTCTTGCTGGCACTATTTGCATGCACATGTTTCTATCTGTCATTGTCGATAGTGAATTTGGTTGACACTTCTATTATAGAGAAAGGGCAAATAGTGATATTAAAATATTTCTTCTAATTAATTTCCTTTCAGTGTGCACAAATTCATGAACTGGGCCACTAGTTGTTTTATAAATATAAAGTGTATGCATATATTATAAATAGCATTATAAGAAAAACATATTAAGTAATATGTATTAAAGTACTTTAAATGAAGCCATTTACCAAAAAAAAAATAGCTATTCTAAAGGAAAAATATTACCTAATTATAAATACAGGTCAAGTTACCAAATTAATGGGAAAGCAGAAAAGAAAAATTTATAATCACATATTATTAAGGTTTTTAATAATGCTTCTGGTGGAAATTAGTTTTATTCTTTCCTATAAAATGAGCCTTAAACACATTCAGCAACAGGCAGTTTTTGAAATAGCTCCATATTCAAATAAATGCTAAAAATAAGACTAAAATCTTTACAGTCAAAAATAAAGACAGCCAGTTTGGCTCAGTGGATAGAGTGTTGGCCTGCAGACTGAAGGGTCCCAGATTCAATTTCTATCTGGGGCACATGCCTGGGTTGCTGGTTCTATCTCCAGTTGTGGGCATGCAGGAGGCGACAATCAATGATTTTCTCTCATCATTAATGTTTCTGTCTCTCTTTCCCCCTCTTCACTCCTCTCTGAAATCAATAAATATATATGTATATATATATATATATATTTTTTTTAAAATAGAGGCTTATAAATAGTGGAAAGTAAATGCATTTTTACTCATTTAAAATAAAACATATATATTAATGTACTAATAAATATGTCTTAGTATATATACTTGCATCTAGCTCATGAACTAGTTTTATGTGTGTAAATTCAGGGTGTCCCAAAACATGTATATATACTTTAATAGCTGAGAGCTCAATTTTGAAAATAAAATGCATTTTAGTAAGCATTGCCTTTATAGTTATAAAGTATATG